AAAATAAATTAAACAATTATTAAATTTTAAATAGAAACAAAATTTTTAAATATGCTAACAGTTTTTTTAAAATTTAATAAATATTTAATTTAATTGAAAATTATAATATTATTTATTATATTTTAATATTTTAATAATTATTAAAATATAATATATATTTTTATAATAGTTTTATTAAAATCACTAAAAATAATAATAATAATAATAAAATAATAATAATAAAAATAAAAATAATATTTAAAATCAAATTTATATATTTAAATATGTTAAATTATATTAAATTTTTAAATTAAATTAAATAATTATTAAAATTAAACAAAATTAAAATTTTAAAAAATTTTCTGATTCATCGAATCTCTGTATCCGATTAACAAATTTTAAATTTATTTTTTATTTAAATGTTAATAATTATTTAATTAAATTAATATTTTAATATAATATAATATATTTAAATATATGTGATTTTGAATACTATTTTTATTTTCATTATTATTACTTTTATTTTATTTTACTTTTAATAAAATTATTATAAAATATAAATAATATTTTAATAATTATTAAATTAGAAAAATATAATAAATAATAATATTATTTTTAATTAAATTAAATATTTATTAAATTTTAAATAAAAAACTATTAACATATTTTAGGGTATCCAATAAATAAGTTTTTAAAAATTTTGTTTTTATTTAAAATTTAATAACTCTTTAATTTATTGTAATATTTTAATATAATTTAATATATTTGAATATATTAAAGCAAATTTTATATTATTGTTATTATTATTTTATTTTTTATTTTTATCATTATTACTTTTATTTTAGTTATTTGATTTTTATTTATTTAATATAACTATTATTATGATATAAATCATATTTTAATAATTATTAAAATATAAAATTATATTAAATAATATTTAAATTTTAAGCTAAATTAGATTATTATTAAGATGGTGCAGAAGGACTTTAATAAGAAAGAAAAAGAAATAAAAAGATATTTATTAAAGTGCCTTTAATAAGAGAGAGAAGAAAATAAAAATATATTTATTAAAAAATAAAATTTTTAGAAAAGTTGAAGATGGAGATGTCATAAAGTTAAAAATGAAATTTTTGGAGATGCAGGATAAAATGTTAGAGGTGTAGCACACTCTTCTATTTGATGGGTTCAATACAATAAGCCCAAAAAGCATGTTTTAAGTTAGGCTACATTAAAAATTAAAAAATTTCAAATTTATTATATTTATGGTTTGATTTTTTTCTATAACTTTCCCATAATAGGTCTCATGTCATGTTTTCCATATTTTTTTTTATATTATTCTTACTTATGCTTAAATATGATAAATAACTTTGTCATATAGTTTGTGAAAAGACGACATGTCGTAAAAAGCAATGACCACTAACCAGCATGTGGTCACGACCACTCCAATAAGGCAATGACATAACATCCTTTTAAACTTAAAGTTGGAGCTTCACCATTAAATCACCATAAAAGGGACCATTTACACCTTAAAAATATCTTAAAAAATGTTGAAATTAACTACAATAAAAATTTGATAATCGATCGCATTAGTAATATATTATGTATACAATTACCACTAAATTACGTGTTTGACAACATGTAAATGATTTTGTAATTCTGTGTGCATTTAAGCTGGTGTGGTAATTTTTTTACTATATATGTTTTCTTACAAAATAACCCTATTTTTGTTATATGATGGACGCTTTGTAAATGGTCCATGCAAGCCAAGTTGAACTTCACGTTTTTCATTTATTAATTTTTCTTCTTCCATACAGCATTATTGAACGAGGAATGATATCTACCTACTTAATCCTTCCTTCATAATGTTCCAATCTTTGGATATTTATTTACATATGCACACATACGTTGAAGACGACAATGAAGAATGATGAGAAAGCAATATGGAAACTAAATGGCAATGTGCATACAAAATAAACATGTCATTCTCGTAATAATGAAACCATGCATTATTGAACTTCGTAGACCCACTCACTCACAATATAGACTGAGAGGTTGTTTTCTTTTGGCTCTTTTGCAATGTCGGAAAAATTAAGGTTAAGAGATAAAAAAAGATACCATAACCAATTTGAATTTTCCACATATTATATAAATGTTTTGATACATAAAACGAGAGGATAAGAAACTCGCTTGCCCTTGTTACTTTTATAATAAGTTCAATTACGGTATCTTTTTAATAAAAATCCAATAAATATTATTGTTTTATTCTGAAACGAACTTATAGCTTATAAATTATAATGTTTCTGCTGGTTTTAAATTTACATATATTTAAATGAAATTGAGCGAGATTTCAACGAAGTCGCTTTGGCCGAGTGGTTAAGGCGTGTGCCTGCTAAGTACATGGGGTTTCCCCGCGAGAGTTCGAATCTCTCAGGCGACGTCGTTTTCTGGTTTTTTATCCTTTTTTTTTCTTTAAATTTTTCATATATATTAATGGATTTCAAATTACAATGTTGATGTTTCAAAATTCTTGAACACAATAATAGCCCACTAATTAAGGGCCCATTTATAAGCAACGTAGCCTCCATCATCGACATTCATTGGACAATAATAGCAGCATTTGTTTTTTTCTGTAGAATTTCATCACCACATATGATGTAACATTTTCAATAAAAGTTATGAAAACATTACTTTTTGGGAGATGCTTGTTTGGGCACAAGAATTCTACAATGTGCCATAAAAATTACTTAAACAAGTTTTTATGCAATAATTCTTTGTATGCATTATCACTCAGTTATATATAGCGTCATTAGGGTTTTAAGAATATTGGCACAGAAACGTTTTAAATACTATACATTAAATTTTTGTAATACTATTTTGGCATAGTAAATAATATAGTTTTGTCAGTCTTATGAAAATAATTTAGTAATATTTTTCATTTTTTAGTTAATAGATAAAGTTGGCCTCAAACTCAGAGGGAAAAGGTTGAAAATTGGAACTTTTTATTTTTGTTTGTGCTAATATAATTGACTAAAGTTGGTTGAAAACAATGTCACGTTACCAAACCTTAATATGTAGCAATTAAATGAAAAAGGTAATGATTAATGCTACAGTATACATTCTGGCCATTCTCTCATCTTGCACCAGTAGCCATTGAATGTGTCTGGAGACGTCACATCGACACTAACATAATTCTATGCAATAATTACAGTGCAAATTTAGAAAGTAATGTTACATCTTACCAATTTTTTAAATATTTTATAAACTATACTAATTAAAAAATTACCTATAACTTCCAATACCACCATTTTTAACTTTTATATATATATATATATATATATATATATATATATATATATATATATATATATATATATATATATATATATATATATATATGTGTGTGTGTGTGTGTACGTATGTGAATGATTTCTTGTGGATAAAATAGTATTAAATATGTATACTTTTACAAAAATGTTATGTATATATAATATGTTATTTTGACTAGTCGGATTTATTCTGTCATCTGAACTTAGCATGTTTGTTAAGAAAATTTGTAGGAAGTTCAGTTTGAATGACCTAAATTCTTTTATTTATTTTTGTATATGTTCTGGGTTGTGTATAAGGATTGAAGCATCTTATGTGTTTTTTATATTCTATTCTTTTCTATTGAAAAAAGAATGTAATTATTATAACTCGTGATATATTGGCTGTTTATATGCAATGAACTAACTAGATAATTAATATATTATATATTTATTTTTCTCTGTTATGTCTTTTCTTTTTATCCTTTTGACCTTTTTGTATCAATCTTATTGAGATATTCCTGAAAAAACCTTCTTGATTCCAAATATCTTCCATTACATTCAGGTTTCTCTTTATCAAAGTTTAAATATCTATCACAAAACCTTTATCTATTATAGAGTTAAATTTCTCACTCTTCAACTATATTTTTATTTATAAGATTCCTCCTTCAACCCTATTTTATTCCTAATATCTTATAGAATTCTCTTTATTTAGAAGTTTTCTAGCTACTCAACTCCTCTTTAACCATCATCATTCTTAGGTTTGTATATTTATTTATTGTTATTTTAATTATAAATATTATTTATAGTGATTGCATCAGGCTTATGAATAAAACGAATTTTAGGTTAAGGGATGCATTTTAAATTTAACCTAATTTTAGAAAATTGATTTATAAAATAAAGTTTCCCCTTACTTATGTATATTTTATGTGAATGGTATCCAAATGGACTCATTATATGATGTAAAATGCATAAAAATAACTTCTTTTAAACTCACGATAAGAGCATTTTCTTATTCCTAACACATGAAGTAGCAGAGGCTAAGGTTTGATTTCGTAAATTTCTGGGTTAAAAAAATATGCAGGACCAATTAGGTTTATTTACCGTAGCAGCCTTAGTTCGTTATGATGATTGATTTTGATTGTTTGTAGGTTAAAATAATTGTGAAACACACGTGATAATTATGGCATGGGGGCGTTCATATTCCAATTGGAAATGATATCGTAAGCCACTCTCATTCGCTATCTTCTCGTCGGTAAACCAACTTGTCATTTCAAATTAAGTTGCTTTAAATTCACTTCACCACACTCTTCCACACACAATACCAAAATTCTCCTTCCACTGATTATTTCCCATCTTCAAAAGTTCAAAACCAAACCTCCACTTTTATAATTACTGTTTGAATTCAGCAGCTTATTAGATCAAACCAACTTTCCTATTATGATATCATGAAAACCCACAAACTAATTGAAAATAATTCTCACTAAGTACCCATTAACCATCATTCATTCACCAACAAAAATCTGATGCTTCTCTGCAAAATTCTCTCAGACTCGTTCCTCATTCTGATCTTAATCACATTAAATAATTATGATCATTCTGTGTGTGTATATATCAGTGTTATTCTGTGTTATAAACATATTAAGAATAATGTGGTTTGCTTGAACCAACATGCAGCTATCAGTAAACAATATATAAGTATTATTATCCACTCAATAGTTGAACAGAAAAATAATGTTTTACAATCTATTCACATCTAATTCACAAGTATAACAGATTATTATTGTAAATAACTACAATGGCTTCCCCGGATAAAAGTGACCTCATCAATGCCATCAAGATGACGAGTAATTTAATTACACATGATCACCAATCCTGCAGATATACATGATTTACTTTTATTTTTTGACCTAAGTACCTTGTTAATCAGTGAATTTGCTCCCCCGGTATAATGGCAAAAGTACAAATTACAAGGTTTTTAGGAGATCACCAAGCTTATCTAATATGAATGGACATATATGTTTATATATATATATATATATGGAGGTGCTGATTCCAATGATGAGTGGCTAGCAGCCAATGGGATCCTCAGAAGACTTTGAAAAAGGGAAAGAGAGAGCACTTATTGGATATTTGAAAAATCAAGAAAGGGAAAGGATGAAACATCGTTCATCAACTCCTCCAAGTCCCACTCTCCCATGGTTAACTCTTGTTGAAATAAATTCTCCACTCCAGCCCTATTTTCAGTTCTCTTGTTGCTGCAGTTATTAAGGATGATGCTGTTTATGTCATCAAAGTAACTATTGTTAGTATCTGTGTTGCAGGTGCTCTCCACTTTCAGGTTATGGTCAGAAGTAGTGCTAACACTCTCTAGAGGAGGAACATACATATCCCCTTCTGCCCCAATATTTACACTCCCAAATACTCCTCCATTTTCCAAATATAAACCTTTGTGATCAACTCCACTTTGCGTTGAGAAGCATGGCCCAGTAGTATTGAAGAATCCACCCGAAACTGGCACGTTTAGTCCATGATCTAGCATAGGCAACCTGTCAATAATGGAATTGAGAACTGTGGCATGCATGGATGGTGATGGAGATGATGATGAATTGAACATAGGCATAAAATCAGCATGTTGATCTTGATGGGTATTAGAAGTAGTAAACCCTGCCATGTTAAGGTCTTTGTTAGGCTCATATGAGGACTCGCTTCCGTTTGGTGAGGTGTTGGCTGACATGTTCTTCAGTCTTTTCTTTATTGTTGAATTCCAAAAATTCTTAATTTCATTGTCAGTTCTCCCAGGCAAGCGCGCCGCTATTTGAGACCATCTTTAAAAAGTGGAACAAAAATGAATATTTGTCAGGTTAATACATGGCACAAACTAATTGTGTTTGGTGGCTGTGTCCGTATTAAAAACAGTGCATGCTTTCATGGAGGCTAATGTATATGTAGTCTTTTGTTAAGTTGATTCAAATTATAGAGTGCCTTCAACTCGAAGTCCACATATAGATTTATGTTATTTTCATATGTCCTTTTGTCATCTACAAGGAGCCGCCTAGACTTATAAATATGTATGTATATTATATTTATGCATGTTTTGTGCATGTATTTTTTAACTTTGAATATTGGTGCCATTTCTTAGACAAGGGGAAGTAGATTTTAGCAACCAAAGTCTTAATGAAACCATTTTAAAATCTTGTCGATCATATTGTAAAGGCTAGGTATCTTAGAATTGCTACTGTTTCAAATAGTAAGTTTGGAATGGTATATATGCATATGTGTGAACTTTCTTGCATAGTTTAAGTTACAGCCATAAAGGCATTTTTTATAGGAGATTTTGGCACATGGCATTTGATTATTCTTCATAAATTTTCATTTATATTGACCCCATCCAATGGCTGCACCAAGTAAATAATTTTGAAACATTAATCATGTCTCTATCGTGCTTTCCACCTTTCCAATAAAGACAACATAGCTAAAGTTAGAAGGAGCTAGTGGGTGTAACATGTCAAACATTGATTTGCTTGATAAATATTTGAGATGTATGCGTACATACACACGCTGGTATAAGTATGTTTGGATTCAGAAATACATAATACACGTACAAAAAGTACTACAGAAGTTCTTTAAGATCATATATATAGAATCAAGTTTAAAATGCATTATGACATATTTCAGTTAATAACAGCACTTGGTAATTCTAATGATATATACTTTGATCAGTTCAAATTAAACATGGCATAGAAAAGAAGGAAGAGTAGGTGAACCTGTTTCCGAGAAGGGAATGCAAATGGACGATGAGTTCCTCTTCTTGTGGAGAGAATGCACCTCGTTTGAGATCAGGCCTCAAGTAATTGATCCATCGAAGGCGACAACTTTTGCCACACCTTTGAAGGCCAGCATTTCTGGCTACATCGCTCCAACAACCTTGTCCACTGTTTAGCATGTAGTTCATGAGCTTGTCATCTTCTTCAGGTGACCACAAGCCCTTTCGAAGCTTGTTATTAATGTTGGAGCTGTTTTTTGCAGACACCTCGGGCTTCCTCATTGTGCACTACTGTATGATCCGGACCCCAGAAGCAGTGTTCCACTGATGAGCAATTTGCTCTCCAACGGGTGTGATGTAAGATAAGAGAAGGATTTATAGAGAGAGAAAGATAACAAAGAAGCTTCATAGGGTGGGAATGATGATGATAATGATGGTGATGGTTGTGGGGTTTGCTTACAAAATAGGGAAGAGTCAGAGAGAGAGAGAGAGAGAGAGAGAGAGAGAGAGAGAGAGAGAGAGAGAGAGAGAGAGAGAGAGCAGAGATCGCTGAGAGCGAAGACGAGATAGAGAGAATTGGTTGATGAGTCAGTAGAAAACGGTTTGGAGAGGGACATGAGAGATTGAGAAAGATGGTGTCTTCTTGTCTTTGACTCCATGGCCTTGTCTTTTTTCTTTTCTAATTTTTTCTTCACTCAGAAGGGAGTCATCATACGTGAACCATAGGATGCCACACACACATACGCACCAAAACATAAATGAATAAACAAAAAATGTAGATACAAGAAACTTTGTTTTGTAACCAAGCCAAGATATTTGCTTCCACTTCACATAATCTCTTCCTCTCTACCCCCACACGTGTTCTTGAAGATATTATAAAACTAAGCTTTATATATGACGGCACATTCTGGGAAAAATAATGTATGTAAGTTATATTTTTAATTACTTTTTCTGCATAACATCCACATGCCTAAGTTTCATTATTACATAAAAAGAAGTAAAACAGACTCAATATATATGTACGAATATATATTATATACGCTTTTGAACATTCGTGAAAAGCGACGAAGGAAGAATTTTTAAGTCTCTTTCTCTCTTAACCTTTTCCCTATATAGTATTGTTAAATCAACACATCTTGTATAAAAAAACACTGGATGTACGCTAACATCAGAAGGAGTCCATGATAATCAGCTGATGAGGGAAGGTTTTATCAGTGCCGTTTGATGATCTGATAGAAGTGACTTTGATCTTAATTGATTTTAAGCCAAATACTATGTAGCTGTTACTTTCACCAACCAAATAGAAATAAAGATTCGTTAATAATATGTTTAATTATATTGTTTATAAACTTCCTAGCAAGGGACCCAATGACAATTAGTTGGCCACAAGCCACTAAAAAAATTGAGTTTCATTCTTGCATAATACACTATTGAAAAAGAAAATGAAAATCTTATCAGATTAAGAGGTAGTAAAAGTGCTTCAAAATTTCCTGGTAGACTAAAAATTTCTAATTAGAAAAGTTACTTGAAATAATTCATGTCAAGGTATTGTCCGAGTATATGGCTGCGGAATGGTTAAGAGATATATATACAGCCAAGGTGTTACTATTTTTGCAGAGAAATGCTGACTTTGATTAATAGTAAATGAAAAGATGGAGATTAGTAAATTGCAATTGAAGGAAGTGTTCACTTTAGCCTTCTTTGATTTTGTCATGCATATTCCTCCACATAAAGGTGAATCATGCTAGAAAAAGAAGAAAGAAATGGTGCAACAGATAATTGACTTTTTGGACCATCTTTTTAAAGCAGCAAGGACAATTTCATACATATGGACAGTAGCAGTTTCCTTATATAATAAACTAATTAACATTACAACCTTCAAAACAAGTTGACATGGAGACCCCAAATTTACCTCGTTTTTTATTTGGAGGTTATAGCATTCTGCTGACGTACCTGTGATAATATCTTAGCCATGAGGGTTAATTAATTAATTAATTAATTAATTAATCTATTTTCTTTATTTTAAAATGAAAGCTTGAAGCAAAACCATGCTGAGAGGAGTTGTGGTAGTTGAAGTGGTGGAGCATGTAGGAGCCTAAACACTTCTCAAAAGCTCGTTCGATGATTGGAAGAAGCATAGAAAGATAAATTGCGAGCTGCTTAACTGGTGTGAGCACTAAGATAATCGTAATGCATCAAATCAAAACAACGAAAATCTTTTCAGTATAAGGGATAAAGTAGAGACCCACTTCTGCACGAGGAAAGAAGATCCAATTGGAATAGGGATAATGGCTACCCTTTCTGTAGTCTCATTCTGTACACATTTATTATGATTGTTCTTTTTCATAGTAAGTTTTTGTTTGTAACCACCCTATACAAGTTCTACAAACTCAAAAAGGCTTGAAAGATTGTCAAAAAGTTGCAAGACAGTACAAGTAAAAGTTAAAAGAAGCAATCAATTTAACAAATCGGCATCCCTCAGAGGGACCAAAGTGGGTGGATCACACATTTCTGTCACAAAATCATGTGTTTATGAAACTACGAAAGTGGCTACAGATTCGCTAGGTTATTCAAGAAATGTTGCAAGGGATATTTGCCGGAGAGAAAAAGAAAAAAAAAACATCAATTTTTCCACCTCACAGTTCCAATTTAGGTCGTTAACAACACATCATATTGCTTTGACTTCAAATAATATAATGATTAATCACAGTTTTAGCATAATAGTGCAGCAGCAGGGTGTAGAGAAAATGCGTGAGGGTTCGTGTCCACAAATCGAAAAACCCTGACACTAAATCACATCATAAGAAATGACCCATTTTCTCAAGTTGCTTCGAAATGCATTCTTAATGAAGAAAAATAAAGTGTAGAAAAGTATGATTAATGAAAGTAGAGAAGGAGGAGAGAAAGAAGCAAGCGAAAACCATGAACGTAATGTCTTAATCGGTGTTTGAATATTATTAAGTACGGAAAGAGTATCTAGATAGCTAAAATTGGTGAGAGAAGTTGTGAAATGTGAAGGGTTGAGGTTTTCCATGCTTTGAGAGTACTGCATGTTTTAGAGAAAGTTTTTGCACTGTTCATGGTGATTACCTCATAAATAAGCAAGCATGACTTTAGTTAGATGAGAGGGAGAGGGTCCTACCAACAACAAACTTGCCATTAAAACCCTAGCAATAAATTAAGAAAGTGCAACCACCAGATGAGTAACGGACTATAGCTATCTCCTAAGGCAGTGGACATATGATACGGGGAATGTTTTCTTAGGATACATGATTCTCAGAACACACACCTACAAACAAAAACAGATGATGGTAGGTGTCAAATTATGAATCATCCATATCAAACTCACTCCTGCTCTTCGATACCATTCCACACACTAAAACTAATCCACCTCCATAAGCAATGCATTGCACTACTTTCTCCTCATTTTTCTTATATTTCATTTAACTATCTTCACTTTATAATGCTTCATAAGAGAAATTCAAAGTCACCAGCTTCCTCAATAAATAAATAAATATATACATATATATTTTGAGGAATGATAGAATAATATAAACATATTATAAATATAAAATAGTTATTAAAATAAGAGTGGTAATAGGGTGTCACACGTTTACCTTCATTTGATAAACAGAGTAAAATAATTATAAAAAAATAAATTTTTATATTTCTTCAAAAAAATATAATAAAAAGAAATAAAAGATATATAGTAACACATAAATATAAAAATTTTGTATATGTCAAATTAATGTAAATTTTTTTGTATGTGAAAAATGTATCATTATTGTAAAAGTAGAATAATGGTACACTGACGCATTTTTATATTTATTTAACACACAAATTATCATAAAAGAGCAAACTTTCATGAAAAATAATACTTTGACAAATACAATTTTTTAAAATTCATTTGACACTATTATTTTTTACATTTTATTTTCTTCTTTTTAAAAAACTACAAAAGTTTATTGATTTAAGATCATTTTATTTTTATTAAATGTGTCAAATGAAAGTAAATGTATATCATGCTACTTTTACTCAACTTTTATATATATAAAAAAGTATAAAATAAGAAAAAGTAATATTTAATGAAAAAGTTCATGTATGTTATATTTTTCATAAAAGTATGAATTTTTGTACTTAAAAATTATGTGTATGAAAATATCATTTATGATATATATATATATATATATATATATATATATATATATATATAATACTTATTTTAAATTTTTAAAAATTCTTGTATTATTTTTCATATATTAACAAACCTTCTTCCTCCACTAATAGCAATAGACAAGCAAGAGAGTAATTTCTCCAAAATTTTGTTGTGCCGATATGTAATTATATTTTTCGTATTAAAATGGTATGATGGATTTATGCTTAAATAAAAAATTCAGTACATATATTAAGATTAATTCTAAAATAGAATATGGCTAACATTAGTAATAATAGTAATAATAATTATTATTACTATAACAGTAAGATTTTAAAAACAGTAATTGTTGGCCTACTTTGCGTTTTGAGTCAGTTTATGCAAGTCCATTAATTATACATTTTATTTAATAATAAAGAGTGTTATAATAAGTTTTTTTAATAATAATAAAATATTCAAAATCACTTTTCTGACAAGTATATATTAATTAATGTCACGGGAAACAAAATGTGAAATTTTTTTATGGCAAAAGAAAATTATTGTATAGAAAGAGAATGTTATTATATACAAATTTTTGAGTAATAAAATGTTGTATATTTCATATTTCTTAATATTTATTCTTCGGATCCTTATTAACATGAGTCCATCTTCTTAATAAGTTCTTCTATTTAGTTTTAGTTAACTCACCGTGACTCGTTGAATATTTTTCGTATATGATGCTAAATATTTTAAAATACTATTCTATTACCTTACAAATTTAAAAAGAAAATGTTTAAATTCAATATAGCTAAAATAATCACAATTTTCGCATAAATACCAAAGCTGTTTACTAAATCAAATTATTATCTTTAAAAAAGAATATGACCGAACAAAAATAATAAGAGAAAGTAACTCCATTTAGATTTTTTTCATATGTACTGATTAATTAGTAAGAAGATCCAATTACTTCGATGATAAATTTTATCAAAAATTTTCTTTTAAATAATTTGTTTAGACGTAAAAGCTATTGGTTGAGCATTAAATTAAAAGTTTATGCCTATAGTTCAGCCCAAATTAATAAACTCTCACAAAAACAAAGTTTACAAATGTTTACTATAATTTAAAAACCATATGGTATTTCACTAAATCCAATTATAGCTTGACGTGTAACAACTTTTTTAAACTGTGAATAAAGTTTGAACATAAGATTATTATATCACTAAAAGTCACCAAATTATCTCAAATTTGGTATGCAAAATTTAAGTCCAAGAATACTTGTCTTACCTTCATCCAACTTCGAACAAAAAAAGAAATTAATTTGTAGTCAATCATCCATATTTATTTGTCATAGTATATATAATTAATAATGTGGATTAT